ACACAGAATTAATTTTATTATATACACATGCATGATAATTGTGTAGAATTCGGTCAAATATCAAAATCTGCTCCTGTGCTCCATTATTTTACTTTCCAAAAAGAGGTCTAAGGTCAGCGGCAATTTCTCTTTGGTGACAGTGAAACTCTTTGTCATTTAGAGTAGAAAGTTCCTGGGTACTAACGAGCCTGGAGCTGTGATGAATGGTCACACATTCCCTTTCCTTTCCAACCCCCACCCATCAAAGGGAAAATGTAACTTTTATTGAGATTCTCAAGAATGCCTTGCCACTCATGCACACAGAAGTCACTTTGGGCTGGGGACTTAGAGACTTGATTTGTCAGAGATGGAGGCAACTTTATTGTTTGTTTTGTAGACTTGGCTAAAATTGTGTGAAAAGATGAACAATACAATTAAGGAAACTTACTTGCAGCTGTAGGAAACATTGTTATTTTCAAGACATTTAAGTAAAACCTCCAAAAGTGTTTTCACAGGACAACCTCCCCTGCTTTAAGTTTTCACTAAATTAAAAAAAACAAACCTACCTCCCCTTTCTTCAGTAGCTCAAGAGACTGATAGGAAGGCCTTTTTCCTCTTCTCCCAAGTCTTCCAAACATTTTGCCAGAAAGACAAAGATTAGTACCACACAAGGCATTGTTTGAAGACACCAGGAGATAGAAATTAATCAAAATTGAGAAGGGACTTGAACAACGCATACCACCTCAAACTCCTGGCCTGGATTCAAGTGTCATTGAAAGTCAGCAGGACACTCAACTTCAGTATATTACAATTTAGATAGAAACCAGGTCTAGGAGTAAGTTGTATGTGTAAATTTTGGCAACAATAACTAATGTCACTCAACTTCAGAGATAGGTGTCAACTCCTATGTACTGCAGTTACACAAACAACCCTTAGCACCATCTAACCTAATGATCCAAAAGACTTTTTTCAGGAGCAAGAAAAAGAAAAGGTCATCTTTAACTGAACAAAAAAACCTGTGCAGTGTGTAATTCTCCATGCTACATTAAAAATCAAACTCTGAGACATCTTTCCTTGTAGTTCCAGTCACTCCCATTATCCGATCATCCTCCAGGTTTTTGGCAATCATGCTCATCCAAATCCGTGAGCTTCAAGAATAAGGAACGTTTATTCCTTACTCATTGCATTTGGAGCAGGGTCCCATTCAAGCATATCCCAAGCCCACCTTTGCATTACTTCACTTCTTTCAACAGTCATAAACAAAAGGTGCTCTCCAATGCATTTATATTCTAGATTTACAACATTTATAGAAATAAACTGTAACAAGGACTCTAAAGGGTTTCCCAAGCCTACTTGATCCAGGGGTGATTTAAACAACCCCATCTTTAAATCTATCTTTTGTATGCTTATGCCCAGAGTCCATAATTTTCATTGTTTAAAGAACAGTGGAGGGTGATCCGCATTTAATATTGCATGGCTCATAAGTTTACCACAATATCATACATTTACTATAAATTGGTAAAATCTTCACTGTCCTAATAAGGGAGTGTGATAGACACACAAGAAAATCTCAGGAAGGAGGAATTGAACTAACCCCTTGCACAGCTCCATCACAAGAGGTAATAATTGAACATTTTAAGGTGGGCCATTGATCTTGTCTAACTTGTAACCATCAACAACAAAAACAGTAAAAACATAGTTCTGAAGAGTCTCCGGGGCAGCAGTTTAGTTTAGCTAGCTGAAATGCCGGAGATGCAGAAGAAAAGCACTTTTTGTTAAAGAACACATCAGTAATGCATTTTGTCACTTAATTGTCCATAACTCCATTCTGTTCTTGAAGATTTCTGATTTTAAGTAGGCACAAGCTACAACTTTTTTAGTGGTAGCAAGTATTCCAAGAGAGCTGACACCTTTTAAATATCCCACTCTTTCATAGTAAACCCATGATTCTTTTCTGCCATCTGAGAATTAGGTGAGCAGCAAGACTTTAAGGCTCAGGCAGCATCATTTGACTTCAAGCTTCCTGTAAAAGTAGGTAGCATAACTGTCAAATTGCAGAAAAGATTTCTCATGGACATTGTTATTTTGACAGGCTCTGGAAGACAGGAAAGATAACGGGGAGAAAGGCACTCCCAAAACTACTTATTTTGTCATCAGTACTCGAGACCTGTGAGAACCACGTGAGTTCAGTTTGGATAAATATAAAAATTTTGAGAAATTTAGTTGAACCTCATCCAAACTACCAAACCTCCTAAACACATAAGGAGGTTGAACAATTTGGAAGGACAGACTTTCATTAAATCTAAGACTGTTGCTCTGCCTGGTGTGCCTGAAACCACCTCCATGAGTTACCCATGGCATTGTCACTTTCTCACTGGCCTTCAACTTCCAAAACATACAAAAATATCTAAGGAAAAAACCATAGCTGTTAAGCCACATTTTCCAAGTTTCTAAAACAAACTCATTTTAAAAATCATATTGTGTTTAATTGGTTTGTCCAACTTCACTTATTAGTAGCCACACTAGAAGCACAAGCTAAACAGCAAATTGTTGCAAAGACTGATGTTAGTTCCTCAGTTAACATTTATTTTGCATGTATCCATAAATGTACTAGATGGAAAGAGTGAGCACGCACAGAATAAGTGTTGGCTTCATTTTCCTGCCAGCTGTCAGACAGCACTGCTCATGCACAAATCTTTCAGTATTTAATATTCATAATGCTGAGGCATCTACTGATCCTAGTTAGGATCAAGAAATTTTATGAAATGTACAAAACAAAGATTGTCACAGTTCTGCCACAAAGAATTTACAATTGGACAGGTTGACAGACTAACTGTTGCTGCAGTGGGTATTATGTGAGAAGTATTCTTTAATGTTATTCTAGCTACTCTTAAATGCAAATGACACTCTAGGTAGCTCTAAGTAGTAATGTAGGGTATTCTTGCAACAAATGCAGGACAGTACTGTACTTCAGCAGCTACTGAGGCAAAGCAGTTACTTTGTCTTACCAGAGGATTTTGTAGTTTTGTTTGTTGTTTTTTTTTTTAATGTATTTTTGTTCATCTATTTTATTTCAGTGGAAAGTTACATGATAGTATTAGTCAACCTGAATGTAATTTAAAGATAATTTTTTTCAGTCCAAAAAAAGTTGACCAACATTAACAACAACATTCATTTTGACTGTCCTCCTAATGGAAGCAATTTGACATTTGGTTTCAAAATGCAGTAATATTTTTGAGATATGATCCTTCTCCAACGCTTCTTTCCCCAGGAGAGATGACATAATAGTGGTTTGCTTGCGTTTGGTTCACATAACACTCACTCTTAACCAATGGCAAAAAGGCTTTTGCAGTTCATGAAATAGCAGGAGGGTGGGATGAGGGTGGAAAGAAAAGAATTTTTACATAGCCCTGTTGGCCATGATCAACATTCTTTTTTGAGAGGCACGTTGAGAAAGAACAGGTTACCTCTGAGATGAGTTTGGTATTTAGGCACTCTTTGGGAAACCTGCACTGCGGAGAGAGAACAGCTTTCCCAAGGCTGAGTAGAGAGCTAGATGGGATCAGAGCTCAGGAATAATGTTTCTCAGTCACATGCAACCCCCAGCTCTCTTCTGTAGCCCACTAAAGGCCTCTGGCAACCTGAATTCCCCAAATGAGGCAGAGAGGATGCTCCTTCAAATATCTCCTTGATGCCAAGGATGTTTCTATGGTAATTCTGCATTCAAAGTTACTAGTTTATGCTGTGTGAGAGGCTACATAAGGGCCCAAGGAGATGAATGAACCTATCTAAGGTTGTGTATACCCAGGGGGCTTCCATAATTTTGGGTGCGCAGAAATACAAAGACGGAATAATGACAATGTTGTGCTGCACTTCATTTGTTGAATTACTTCAATACCTTGCTCACAGATGTGTGTATGTGAATCTAATCAACCAAACTCCTCATAGACAGCAGAGATTATTTTGGGACATTATTCCTTCTTCTGCTACAGAAAAAAAGAAGCACCAGCTTTTCATAACCTCTTGAATACAGGGAGGTGTGTGTGCATGCGCAGACCAACACCTCTTTCTCATATGCACCAAAAAAAAAAAGGTGATAATAAAAAGTTTCCTATATATAGCACATTATCCTAGAAAGATAGGAGCATTAATAACAGGCTTGTCTTTTAATGCAGAAAAAAAAACAAAAACCACCAAAAAACTGTTTGATTGTTCATCTACTTAAACAGTTATTAAAAGAGAAAAACACCCGGGAAAAGAAAAGGTGGCATGATCAGAAATAAACATCTGAAGAAAATGAGATTTTTCTGTATCACTTTAAATCCTAGAAAAAGAAAATTTTTTTTACCTTTTCTTGAATCATATTTTGCTTCCGACCTTAAAACTATTCAATTTGCTGTTCAATAATAGGGACTCACATTGCCTTTTAAATACATACAAAAAAGTTGCATTTTTTGCTTTCATTTTCCCTGTGTGTTTGTTGCATACTGACATCAAATTTCCTGCAGACATCCTAACTTTGCAATTGGAGAAACAGTGCTCCAGGGTTTTCCACATGTCTAATACACCTGGATAAAAAATGCTAATTGTCACCAACTTCCATTAAATGACAGCAGTAAGGCACAAAATATGCTTGATTTGCAGATGCTAGTGCTACTGGGATTTAGCAGTAGATTAATAATTGTGCAGACCTCAAACATTCCCCTGGTGCTGCCAGCCTGGGTTTCCAATGCAACATCAGATTACAAGGCCTTTGTTTTTACCTTGCTTTCCTGAGGAAATCTGGCTTAAGCAGTTGTACTGTTTCCCTGTGCGTGTGACTGTCCTACCTTCCCACAATAATTTCTGGTCAGTTTGAATAAATTTTAAAGGAAAGTAGAGGTTGCAAATGTGCAATGGCCTTAGCAGTTTTGTGAAAAACAGGCACCTAGGTAGATAGGATCAAGTCTAAGTGTTTCAAATATCCTTGCTTTCTAGATTCAGGTATTCTTGCAGGAAAACAAGAATGAGGAAAACCCTCATTCTCTTCAAATTTTGTTAACACTGAAAGTAGAAGGGAGATGCATCATATCACATATTCAGCATGCAGCAACCCTGCATCTGACCACCTTTATGAATCAGTTGTCGGACTAGGTTCCCAGTTTTGTGATGATTTTTTTCTTTTTACGAACCTATATGCCAAAAAAATCCTATTTCAGCTTGAGGCTTTGAGTGTGCATCAGGAGTCAACTTCTCGCACAAGTTCAATCTTACTCTGGTTTCCTCCAAATAAATTCAGGGGCCCACACTTTACCTTCTCTCATCTCTTCTTGCTCTGCTGCTATTGCTGTTTCCTCTGTATTTTGAGTGCACATGGGCGCATACCCTTGGGTATGAGGACACCACCCCTGTAGCATGCAAGCTTGCTGGCAGCTCTGGTGGCATTGCAAAGCTCATTTTTGCATGCAGCAACACGATTACGGTGAAGGTGAGGGCGAGGCTGAGCAAATGTGTTTCAACACTTCTTTCTTGGTATTTATTACTGTGCCATAGCATTCCTGCAACCTGGCCTGCTGCTGCTCCAGCTGCCTATGCAAACTCCTGATGGAGCGCAACAACAGAAGCCGTCGGTACATAGCTAGCTGGAGCCGATATTTCTCCTTTTCCTCTTGTTTCTTATTTTCTAAGGTCTCCATTACTGTTGTGGTCTTCATCCAAATCACATGGCCCAGACTACAAGAGGCTGTATTACCACTGGTGCCACTCTCTGCCTGCTGTGTGTAGCAGTCCTTTTGGTCAGTCCCAGCCTGTGGGGGTTCGCCAGCCTCACAGAGCACCCCTGGGACCTGCAGCACTTCTGAACTGGAGCTTTTGGAGCACAGGGAGGCAATGTCCACGGACTGCAAGTTACCAACTACCACAGGATACAACAAGCCAGCTAATGATACATCTACATCTGTCAGATGATGCTCAGCCAACTCAGAGGCTGTCCTCTGGGCCTGGCCACCACTAACCATCTCTGGGCCAGTCAGGGCTTTTAGCTGGGCCATGGCCTTGCTGGAGAGGACAGACAGTCTTTCTGGCATCGTTGCGCTTCCCCTGTCTTCATTAAGGCTGGCTAACGAAGGGCTGGCAGAGCAACCAAGGGACGCAGTAACAGTATCATGATTCAGAAATCGATCTTCATCATCACTATTATTTTGGATCTCCTCTTCATCTGTTGGTATTACAGCTACTGTCTCAGCCATTTAGTGCATGAGCTACAGAAACTTTCTGTGGACAAAGGTGGAAGCAAAAGGATTTCATTTCTACATACACACACGGAGAAGCCCAGTGCAGTGACATTTGAAGAAAGAACCTCTCTTTATATTTAAGCAATGGACCTATTACTTTTCTAATAAAGCACAACCCTTGGGTCACTTCAGGCCATTTCTTGTGATTTGCATTAGATGTTCTTCGAGACACAACATTAATCCAACAATAATTAAAATGATATACTGTACTATTAACATTCTCAAATCTTTAAAGGCAAGTGATCTATCCCTGCAGCACTGGCTGTGCTGACTAATTAAACAGAATACAGTTGTAAATGGGCATTGTAAGCACTTCTCCCATTTAAGAAGTGTAGTTTGTAGAGACAGACGAGTTATCAGGATTGATCAGCTTTAGAGAGAGATGGATGTACCACAAACAGCAGGTTGCATTTAAATGCCCTCTCCTTGATTAATCTGTCTGCTACCAGTTTGTTTACAAGGTTGCCTTTCCCCCTCCTATTAATTCTAACTGTAAAGATACATTAGCACCACACTAGCCAAAGAGAGGAAAAAGAAATCAAACACTTACCGAGGTTACTGGGGGAAAGGAAAAAAGTTACAGTGCGTTGTGTCTGTGTATCATTTTTTCTTGAATGTGAGTCAGCACAATCTGGAACAGAAACATCACAGTGCTGGAGCAGGAGCAGCAACAGCATCACGCAGCATCCACCCAGCAACAACACAGTCAGTCCCAATCACAGAGGAGTGCAGGGCTGTTTTCTTCCTTCTCAATGGGAATTCCTCCCTGGCATGCCGCTTTTATGTCATTTTTGAGCATCAAAATAAATACCAGGATTGGATGGTACTTTTTTTTCCCCACCTAAAAACAAACATACCCGATTCACCCATTCTAAAGAGGGGCAATACCTATGGCCCTTCCCACCCCTGACAGACAGCAAGGAGGTAGCAGAGCACCAAAAAGAGGGTGAGGCATTCTGGACTCCAGTCTGCAGTTTTTCCTTAAGAAGGAAATAAGCTTAGATAAACTTCAGCTGCGTGCACAAGCTAAACTCAAAAATTAAACAAGCATTCAGCACCAACCAAATGCCTCACAAAAAGACGGGTAGAAGCTGTAGATTGAAGTGTTTAATGTACACCCATATTTAATTAGGCTGGCCTAATCTTTAAGGAGCAGCTCTACATGCAGCTAAGTCATCCCACAGAACACTAAACTTTATCTCCACTTTTGATGCTTAGAAAAGCTGCCTTCAGCATCCTCTCTCACTTGTAGCGCCAGGAACAAAATTCACAAATAATCTATCTGCATCTACTTAAATCAATTCACCATAGGGCATCAGTTGCCCCAAGACTTTCTCTACTCCGTTCTGAATATAAACAGAAGAAAGAAACAATCCAAAATACTATCTAGAATCTTCCTGCAGCTGGAAAAGAATGAAAGTAGATCCTATCTCCACTTCTATGGGTGCTGCAATACAGATAATATTTTTTTCTTTTGCATTTCTGTACTGACTATCCTTCTTTCTGATGAATCTGTTAGGATATACTTACGAACTGGAACATAGGAAGCCTGGTTAACATAAATTCAGATTTATACCCTGAGGTCTACCTTGAATGCATTTTTTGGTGCAAGAGGCAATTTGCACTGAATTTGTAAAATAAACTAAACTAAACCTGCTGTGCTTATGTGCCAGATCATGCTGCAGATTATATAAATAATACTAGGAAGATATTAATATCCAGTGAGTTAATAAACTCTGCAAGTTTATATCTTGGTGATTCCCATTTATCTGAATCAGGAGTTACTGTAATTGGAGAATATCGAATTCAGATAACAGGAATTTTACTGCATTAACACACTGAAAAGGTTCATTGTAATACAGCATTATATGGAGAGTGTTTTAGCTTCAGCTGCTCTCCTCTCCAAAGCACTGCAGGCATATCTCCCTACTACAAAGAGGACAGTGGATGGGTGCTAGGGAGTACCTGATCTCCAGCTATGTCAATACTTTTCTATTAGCAATAGTATTCTGTTCCTCACTTTGATATCAGTAGCAATCTTCTGCAAAATAAGTATTTTCTAATAGTCTAAGAAGGCATGAAAAAACAGAGTTTTGGTGTTTGTGGTGGCTTTTTGGGGATTGCTTTTTTGTTTGTTTTGGACTTCTGTTTTTTTTGTGGGTTTTCTGGTTTGTTTGTTGTTGTGGGTTTTTTTTCCCAAGCTCTTTACAGCTTCAGTTTTTCAGCAAAATTTTACAGGCAGTACCATTTGAGACCCCTGGTGGCCTAGTGGTTAGCGTGCAGGACTTTCACTGCTGCGTCCACGGGTTCAAGTCCCGGTCTCCTGGCCTGATGGAGGTCGTTAGCCCTGTGTGGCCATCCATCTATGAGAAGGACACTCTAAACAAACCTACGTCCTGAGGACCTCACTGCCATTGTCCAAGCTTGCTTGGCCCCGGCAGATGAACCTTAGGATTAAAGGGTGGGCTCAGTTCAGCGCAGGCTGTGTCTCACCTAAAAAATCCATTGCGCAGGCTGGAAAGGTAAAAGACCTTTCCCCAAATCTTCGTTCGCGAAGATGGGCCATTATTATATACATTTGAAGAGATGGGGAGGGGGACAAAAAAGTCATTTTTCCCATCAAATTAGAGTCACCAAAAATAATATTAAATGTTTATAGATGTGGATCTGGATACAATAAATAGCATCTGATACTATCAACTAAGCAATAAAACTACAATCAAAACTGATTAAGCTAAATGGCTTTTCATAGAATACTATAGCTACAGCTGTAATCTGTGAAGCTTTATAGCAAAAAATATTCAATCCACTGAATTTAGAGAATCAGCACAATATAAATACCGCCAAAGAGATTTATTTATTATTACTAAAATACAAGTGCCACTTATGGCCAGGGCTGCATACATTATCATGACAGGACTGTTATTATCTTCCTCTCCATTGTTCATAAAATCTTAGCTAGGGCATCAGATGGAAAGGTTCTAGATTCAGTTTCTCCCTGAAGGTGAATACATACAGAGCACTTCAGTCAAAAAGATAGAGATGCTCAAGTACAAAAACAGGAACAAAACCAGTCTTATGGCCGGGAAGACTCACGGAAACCTTTCAGGAGAAAAGTCTCTTGTGTAACCGACAGACTGGGGAGTAGGGAACAAGACCACAGCTCACTTCAAAAGGAAACATGTAAATTCTTGTTCTGGGATAAAACAACGATCCTTCTATTCACACAAGACTTTCCTTGACAAAGTGACTCCTACAGTTTATCTCCCTTTTATTTGCAATTTGACAGATCAATAGAGACCTGAAAAGACCTTATGTTAGTTTCTTCTTCAAAAGGCACATTGTGTTGTTTCCCTGGTGAAGAAGCACTTGCTGTTCCACCTAAGAAGCTGTTGCAGACAGACTGTTCAATTCCACTCGCTCACCCCTGGACTTGTTAATCTGTTTGTGGGAACCTTTCCAGGCAGAAGCTGCTTCCGATTTCACAGTGAATACATCTGTCAGTTTAACACACTGGGAATTTCAGGTAGGCAAAAAGAAAGCAAAGACACCCTCAATTGAGGTTCATTGCATTTCATTACCAGCCACTCACAGGTAGGTGCAGCTACAGCAGTTTCAAGGTGTAGATAGACCCTGGGGAGCCACCTTCAAGCTGTCGGTCTGGCACGCCCCTGCAAAGTCTATGTCAGCAGAGGTTTTTAAACCATCACACTCTTCAAGGTATTAACCACAAGGGGTACTTGGCAACCCAAATGCTCACAAGTGTAAGCACGTGCTGAAATGCTCTGTGCTTGCAGGCTTATGGAATAAGTGCTTAGCCATCACACTTGTGTCTTGTATGGCAGCAGAAAAGACCTGGTCACAGGGAAGTCCCTGCAGATAGTCAGGACAACTATTTCTCCTTTCGCTTCCAATTACAGTGCCATTCTCAAGCATGGACACATGTGAGGACAGGAGAGTGCTTGGTCTTGTTATTTTATTAGGTACAAATGTTTTACTGAAGTTCAAAGCAGCCAAACACATTTACAAAAAGCACCAAAGGTGAAAAGCATTGGTGAAGATATACCATTAAAAGACCATGTCCTGGGATGCTACATTGTTTTGTATTTGAGCTTGGGGAGTACTTTTAATGAAATAGCAAAAAATATTTTATTACACAGTAGTGCAATTCCATGTGTTATATTAATTGTTCTTAAAGATCAAAAGGAATATTTTGTCTGTTAATGTACACACTCTCATGGCCTCCTATGAAATCAATGAGATCCACATGTGTGCATCTGAGGCCTAAATTTTTCCCCAAAGATTCTTTAAAATCCTTTTACAGGGCAGTAAGTTGTTGAAGAGAGTCATATGTTCCCTTTCTTCTGCCTTCCTACCCAAAAGAGATAGGAGTTCTTACAGGCTGCTCTGTATTTTTCTGGATGGTAACAGTATCCTGAGGGGCCACTGGCCAGCCAGGGATTGCCATCGTTCTGCTGTCATGTTTGTCCACATCTAGGAGTTTCTGCAAGCCTTTTACACCAACAACGAAATAAGAAATGGAGCCCAGCTCCATGTGAAGCCCACTGATGACAGCAAGAAGTGCTCTAGATATTTCAGGGCCTGGGAAAAGCATGGCTGGATATCTCAACGGCTTTCAGACAGAAGGAAATTAGGAATCTAAACAGAGCTGCAGTGCAATTGTGTGTTCAGGTAACCTGGAAGCATTTAAGCAAAAGAGTGAATACATGATTTTACCAGTGAGGAAAGTTTCAGTGGCTTTGAACATGAAAATCCAGGCATTTGAACATACCATCTTTATATTAAGGGTAAAAAACATGGGAACAATCTGCCACGACTGGTAAAAATTAGCAGGCTTGCTGCCAGTCTCAACAGAACTGCCTGTCAGAGGTGCAAATCTCTGAAGGAGTAGCTCAGACTGCATTTGGACTGAAGTTTAGTCGAGTTTGCAAGCTTCAGAATCTCAAGACTGCAGGTGTCAAAGTGATCCAAACACTAAGAAGGGGTTGATGACAGCTCTCACTGCAATATTTCAGCAACTCTACTCCTAACTCTGCTTGGGCTTAACTATTCTCTGCTTGGGCTTAACTATTCTAGGGACACAACATGAAAAATACATTTATATGGATTTATAAAGATATTTTGGAAGTGAAATATTTTGATTTTTTTCTCAAGGCAGCAGTTGTTCTCTCTACCATCTATGTAGAAAGCATTTGTTTATGATTTCAACCACCATTCGTCGAGTGAAAGAATAACAGCATCATTGCCCAAACTAGTTTAAGGTCATGTTCCTGCCATCAGATCCACAGAGCCATGTTTTTATGCTAAAACAGCCACAAAGAACTTTCCAAAGTCATCTTGTGAACTCAGGGACCAACTTACTCAGCTAAGATTGTCTTAGTGTCTCAGAGGCCAAGGAGAAGACGGACAACCCATGGGTACCTGTAAATGTGCTTTTGTTTGATTTTTCTCTCATCTGGGCAGACCAACCTATGTTGGGCAGACCCAATGGGCGTCAAAGAGGCCGGCACATTTTAACATGAAGGAAACTTTGCTTTTCTAGAGAGGGTTAAGAATGCTTTGCGAGAAAGACGTCTGCAGCATATGCCTGACAAATTAGTGGGGCAGACAAATTGATAT